TTTCAAATCGACTCGTCCAAGAGGTATAAATACCCAACTTAAGCCATAGAGCTTGGAGGAGGAATTCCTTGTGAGGGAGGAGAGTGTAGAGGGGGGGCCATTGTCATTCAAAGCCTTCACCGTAGCTCACATAAGCAACTAAAACCTCTACACTCATCCCCCTACTGCTGTGACTATTCACAGGTATGCAAATGCTTGGGCATGTTGGAAGGTTTACATTTCAATTAGAAAAAACAACCTCTCTTCTTTTGTGTGGGTCAGTGCTGCTTGTGCCGGCAGGCAAATCTAATTTCCATTGGTCGGTGGAAATGCAAATGTTTCGTATATGTAAACGTATGATGGGTTCCATGAGAAAATACAGGAACAGACGTGTTTTTCTTGCTTTTTTGCCGCAAATTAAAAAATTTATTGTACTGCTTTCAGGTAATAAAAAAAAACAAATGAACAGCAAGACTCTTTAACAATCACCTTTGCTTAAAATGATTAAAGGCAATGGAGATGATAAGAATCCATCATGCTGATGAACACATGACTGCAGTTCATGTTTTCTACCCCAGGGAAGTCTTTAAACTGCCTACGTTGCTGATATCCCAAATGACCCTCTGTTGCAGGTTAAGGCCCAGGGGCAAGAACTGACTGTGGGTCTTCTTCAGAGCTAGTCTGCAAAAGGTGACGTCAGACCGAAAGCCAGTCCTGACTCAGGAGGCAAAAAAGGACATACCACCTTTCCTGCCTCCTCCATATTTGGCTGAGTCATGCCCCAACATGTCCACTTCAATTTTAAACCAAACAAATTAAATAAAGACCTTCCGGACTCAACTTTCTAATGCTGCAAAATATGAGGTGAAAAGCTTTTTTTTTGTTCAAGAGTGTTATGTTAATAGTTTAAAAATGATGTAAGGTTGCTCCGAAAAATAAATCCATGGATGGATGGTTGAGGCTGTACCTCTCCACCAGCCTGAGGGCAGAGTCATGTGGCAGTGGGAGTTAATGGGAGTCCCTGCGCTGTTTGTCAGACATTAAAGACTCATGTCAACAAATTGGTCGTTTTAGTCACCATGCGCAGCAGCAACTCCTGTCACCTCCTATGTGTGAGTAACTCTGCTGCCCTCCATTAACAAACCTTCCCTTTATGGCTTGCCATCATTAGCCTTCTCGCCTTGCTGCAAGAGGAGGGAACGGTCGTAATGCCTTTAATCTTCCTGTGTTAAAAATATGCTGAAAATGTGACACCCTCGTCTGCATCAGTCATTTAACAACAGAGGCCCGTGCCTGCCCTGATCTGTGGGTGAAACAGGGGAATCCAATGTGTCATCAAATGCAAGAATGTGTTTATTCACCATTAGCAAGAAAACAGGCCTCACCTCCCAGAACCGCTGGGTGGAGCTGACTGTGTCGTCTGTGATGTGGTCAGAGGGATATCTGTGTGGGTGCAACACCCTGCAGCGCTGGCTTCTCCTCAATCCTGGGCACTAATTTCATTTTTCAGCACCGCCGCCTGTCATCAGCACTCTTATCAGAAATACATACCAGACTGTAATCATATGAGAGCTGGATGCCAAAATACCTCTGAGGAAAAAATGAAAAACTGGAGGTAGGGTTGGAGGAGGGGGAGGCTTTTTGAGTTTGTGGCAGAGGAGGTAAAAGAAATTCAGACTAAACAACAACATCCCTAATAAAGCAACTTTCTAAAACACATGAATTTTTAATTACTGAACAATATGCTTAAAAAAAGACTGGATTGCTTCTCAATTGTCTCTTAAACAGCTCCAATCACCTTTATAATGCCATGCAGCATAGCTGTTTGCATGAACTCTTTTAAGGTATGGCTGGATGTGGGCGCCTGTTTGTGTTGCGTGCAGTGTACTTGGGCAATATCAGCAGCCGTTAACCCCCTGTGAGGACAAATTAGGGGACATGCCTGAACAGGTCACCTGCTGACGCAGAGCTGCACCAAAAAACTGAATTCAAAACACAGGATTGGGAGGAAACCAACAAAACTTGTGCCTATGGTCGTCAGGCAAACTTTAAGCATGCATACTGGTGGAAAGTGATATGTGCAGTGAGATATTTATGCTTCATGAATCTCAGTTTGACCAGAGGAAGCAAAAGCACTCTGCAGAGCCGATGTTCATACCAAAGGAAGAGGACTTAAAGTGTGTGAGGTTTAAAAGAAAGTTCCTCAGATTTAGGTTTCAACTTCTGCCACTGAACAGACTGCCCTTTGAGAAGCTGGTCTCATTTTGAAAATCACAGAGTTAATGTAATAAACTAGCTTCTCAAATGCCATAGCTGTCCAACTGTAGCACATTAAACATTGGTGGTAATCCAAAATGACCTATTCATAAACAGGAAAAAATTTACAGCTTTCATCATAAATGTCTAATCCTTTCAAAAAAAGTCAAAATTTAGGAGAATATTCTTTTTTTTCTGTGGCCCTTATCTACCTGTTTCATAACATGCATTTCATTTCTAAAACTTCTTTAATCTAAATCTGAAATGAAAACTTGCAACTGGGAATGACATTAAATAGTTTAACACGTTTGAAATCAGCTGCTATTCTTATCGTCCCTGAAGGCCAGTAGCATTGTGTTTCTCCATGTGTTTCCATTTAAAGCACTGCAGCAACATGTTTACAGAAGAGATTAAAGTAGTCTGTATGCAAAACATTTAATTAGATTTGTAGATTAATCAATTATTAAAGTTCAGGTTTTGTAATCAGCAGTCATATTGTATTCTGAACTTAAGGTTAGTGAGAAACCTCCTCCTTCCCACTGGGATTTCCAACACGTAGGGACGGTTAAAATAACCCACTTAATATTTGATGACTACACTTTCTGATTAAATTCAGTTAAAAGATCCTCTTCAAGAAGTCTTGCAGTCCAAAAGTAGAAATTATTTTCTCATTACTTCGTGACTAACAGTAAATATTCTGGTTATTGCTCCTTTTAGTGTGTTTGTAAAGACTGACTTGGAAAACCTGATGTTTACAGGATTGGAATTTCCAAAGAAAAAAACTGGATCAGAAGAAACGTCCAGCTTCTGACCCACAAAATAAAGCAGAGGAAACTCGTGACTTCAGGTATTTGGCACAACTAAGTCAGTTAGAAAGCAGGATGAGGGTTTTCAAAGGAACAGAGATTTTTTTTTCTTTGTCTTCTAACAGAATTAGGGCATAGAAAAATCAAATAAAATTTGATCAATTTTTATCTGTGTTTTAGTTGATTTTTTACTGAGGATCTCAAAACTCCACAATTTAGAATATGTAACTATAAGTTTCCAAATTATGGACGATATTTATAGGCAAATTGACTTTGTCATATAATCATTTCCTTGTTCTCTATCCTCTCAAAGCCCATTTACACAAAATCCATATTAATCAACCTTGATTCTCAAATAAATAATACAAATATTCTCTAGACTAAAACATTAACCAAATTTTAAAGCAACTGCTTATTTTTTCATATTTTTCCAGTTACTGGTTCCAAACATTTCTTATTTTGTATTCTGTCTACAAAGTCACACAGCCAGAAACATTTCCTGTGAAGGATACACGTTAGAAAATAACTGTCTTGTGCTATTCCTCTGTTCCTCTAATCACATAAAACATAACTTTTTACTCCATCCGGACTGTGAAGCACGCATCCAAATTCAAAGTGGATTATTGCTGCACTTGTGGCCTTGTATTCACTGTAGTCAGACAGGAAATACAGAGAGAGATAGAAGGGGGAAGGCATGCAGAAAAGGTCCCGAGGTTGGGATTTGGACAAGTCAAGGACCAGCAGCTTCTGTATTCTGTCCCTCTGTGCAGCGCACCGCTCTGATCTGGACAAACCTTATTTGAGGTGAACATGAAAAACTTCATTGCCCAATTAAAATGTTCAAGAAAAGGAGCTGGATCACCTGAGCTTCAGCTTCAACAGCTTCTGGAAAGGGTTAACAGCAGATTGAGCATGAAATCAGCCTTTAAAAACATGAGTTACGTAATGCATCCTTTTTATATTCAGTCACAACTGATTTCACATACGCAACCTGCAACAAAAATTAAGTAATAAGAATTGCATTGTTTAAAAATATGTACATTTATCATATTTCTACCTCTGTTCTATGAGTGTTTGCCTAGTGGTTTAAAGCAGGGCGCTTGTGCTGGTTTGATCCTCATAGACACCACTCTGATAAGAAAGTTCAATTATTGAACTTTATTGATCTCACATTGGAGAAATTTACCTCTGCATTTAACCCATCCCCTTGGGGAGCAGTGTGGGGTTAAGGGTCTTTGCTCAGAGACCCAGTGGCAGTCTGTGGGAGTGGGGTTCGAACTCAGGATTCAAAGCTCTATGCCCTAACTAGGCTGCCACTATTATTTATTATTTCTCCATAACAGTAAAGAACAGCCTTTTTGGAATCAGGCTCTTTGTCTTCATGTCATCCTCCTGTTATTTTAGAAATAATAGTGGAATTATTATTAAATAATCCGCTTTAAAGATTAAAAGTTCACATTTTCATCTTTTCGTGAGTCTTTGGGTTATTTTATTGAATAATGCTGATCGAGAAGTGGAGAACCAAATTCACAGGCATCCTGCAGGGATAAACTGCATATTTCCGTTCTTAGATAAAAAAAACAGCAAGTTTTACAAAATCCAAGATTTGTAATTATGAAGGAAATTCTGATAGCTGCCTTTATGATACTTAACCTAAATCCTTTATTGATATGTGAAACATGTTTTTCCTCACAGGCAGAATGCTTCCATGAGAGTCACATGAGAAAATATCACCTCTCCCTCCAGATTCTAATCCGGAGCTTTTCCCCCAAAGAAAGCCTGTTTTGTCGGATCCCACCTGTTGCAGCAGCAGCAGCAGCAGCTCTGCTTCTGAAAACGAGTCGCTGTTTATCCACGTGTGGGCGGAGAAAACACGAGTCGCTGGAGATACTGAGCGACCAATCAGAAGCGAGCAGCGGCGGAAGGCTATAAAATCAGCGCGCGGCTCCTCAGCTTCAGTCGCTCTCTGCTCTGCAGCTGGAAACATCCTCACTGCTGATCCTGGAATAACTTTAACTTTACTGAACGAGTTCAAAGCGTTTTATTCTATATTTCTTTCGCGGTTTTAGTGGAAACTGAATCAGTGGGAGGAAAAAATGAGGCTTATTCAGAACATGTCGACCATTGCGGAGTGCAGCGCGCCGGAGTGCTGCGTCCCGAACCGGGTTATTAAAATAGCGGTTATTGGAGGCAGCGGAGTGGGAAAAACAGGTGAGCCTCTTACCAAACACAGATATATTGCTATATTTTGGGTTTATATGGATTTATGATTTTAGGTTTAACATTGTTGTCCTTTTTTTGTTAATTTTAGCGCTGGTGGTGAGATTCTTAACGAGGCGTTTTATTGGAGACTATGAGCGAAATGCCGGTAAGTTTAAAAATACTTTTCCATTAAATGAATTTGCTTTCATTCTGTTTGTTTTGATGAAATCAGCTGATTTTGGTCTCTTTTCTGTGTCCAGGTAACCTTTACTCCAGAGAGGTCCAGGTGGATGGAGATCAGGTGACCATCCAGGTCCAGGACACTCCTGGTGCAGAGGTGGGGCTCCTTCCTTCCTTCCTTCCTTCCTTGCTCCCTCCCTCCCTCTCTCACATCTTGTTTTGGTTGATTTAATCAGTGGTGGCTCCAGATGTAGCATTTATGATCAAACTTATTTCAAATCTCATACATAAATTGACTTTCTGGCTGTTAGTTTCTTTTGGGAAACATTTCTGAAACCTAGAGATGGTTCCCCCCCAAAGCAAGCCCCTCATTTTGGGCTGAGTAATCTACCATTTAGGGTAATGGCTGGCTGGGGCCACTGTAAATGATACCATGATCCAAATCCAGACTTTTTTCCCCCCCCTGTCACCCACACCCCCTCCACAGCAGTAATACTATAGCTCCTGTCTGCTCAATCAGCATTCCAGTCATTACAAGAGTTTACTTTTCATTAAGTCTTTAAACTTTAGATCTGAATGAAGTTGCTCCACAGAGGAATGTTTAATTTTAATAATTTCGTCTTTTCCCCTTTTAGATGACTGATAATGGTATCAGTATCCCCGATCATGTGACGTGCTCCATCCAGTGGGCCGACGCCGTGGTCCTGGTGTATTCTGTGACCGACCGCCGCAGCTTTGAGCTGATCGATCAGCTGCACCAGCTGGTGGTCCGTACGGGCGGGACCGGCGTGCCCCCGTTGATCCTGCTCGCCAACAAGGCAGACCTGCTTCACCTGAGGCGTGTAGACTCCCAGCAGGGCCCTTTGCTGGCGGGGACTCTGGGATGTTCCTTCTTCGAGGTCTCCGCCAGCGAAGATTATAACCAGGTGCATGGAGCTTTCCACAGACTGTGCTGCCAGCTCGCCAAGCAGCCGCCGCCTCCAACCGCCAGCGCCGCCCCAGAGAAGAGGCGCTCGCCCCTCATTCCCCGGCCAAAGTCTCCCAACATGCAAGATCTCAAGAGGCGTTTCAAACAGGCGCTGTCTGCTAAAGTCAGAACTGTGACCTCTGTGTGAAGAGGACTGGAAGCCGAGGGAAAAGACGAGGAGAGGATCTCTCCTTCATTAGTTCTGAACCAGTCTGGGTGACGGAAACAGACCGATCAGTGGCAGCATCCACAGGGCAGCCTTTGTCCACCTCTTGGTGGAGAGCGGTCTCATGTCAGATGAGGTGTGAAACGAAGCAGGGAAAGAGGTTTATCTGCTCAGGAGGAGACCTGTGAGGACACGGGGAAGCCGATGGAGGCTGGCTGAGCCCACAGACTCTGCTTATCGGTTGATCTAAAGTGTAAATTCTGCTCTCCTGGCAACAGCTGAAGGACGGCTTATTTTTAGCTGGCCCATTGTGGTGGTTTCTATTCACAGCCACTACATGGCCCTGTTAGCGGGTTCCCATTCAGCAAATACTCTGGAGCTGAGCTCAGTAATGCCAACATCTGCAGTGTGTATAAATACGTGTATAGTTTTGTTTTGAACCTTAAGGATCATCACTGTACATGGCGGTGAGGTTTGGGTTGTAGCAGACGGGGTGTAGCATGCTTCGACTATGATCACTGATGCACTTTATGAAAACAAGTCCAAAGGACCTGTTATTTATTTGTTACAAGTTCACTTTGTAATAAAAATAAAATGATTTAAATATTACAGCTGTGTCCATATTTCATTTGTAAAAGAATCTTCAGCAGGTAAAAGAAGAAATATTGCTTATTTAATCAGATTCTGACTCCTGATGACGCATCGAAGAAAAGCTCGTCTGACCTTTGAATAGAGCTCCTCTGAAAGGCCTTGATAACTCGCAGCTATGAGTGGCATTAAGACAATGGAGCGACTGATACCCTGTTGATGAGTCAAGTCTGCTGCTAAACTTAAAACCCACTTAAGCACACAAGACAAAAAAATGGGGCTAATGCACAGATGAAGGATTTTTGCCCCTTAAAGCTAATGTTATGCAGATTTCTTTTTAGGGGAAGAACCAGTGTGAAAGGAGGAATCCAGAATTGTGTTTTTGTTAACAGAATGAGATCTTTAAAGTTTTACAGCTTCTTTAAAGGAAGTTATATTTATATTATAGTTAATCCCATAGACTGAATGTTAAAGGTAATCAAACAATATATATCTTAAACCAACTTTTAATCACAAGCCAATTGACTTTTAAAGACATTGTAATGTGTTGGTGCATTTGTATACCGTATATTAAATTACCAATCAGACCCAAACTTGACCTTTAAATCTTATTTTTTTTTTTGTTACAATAACCCAGAAATATTCCTCTAAACCTAGAAAATGTCCTGAAACATTTTAGACCCTTTTATTTAACTGGAAGGGCTCTTAACATTCAGTCATCTAATGTGTAGCCTGTTATTTTTTTCACTAATTATCTGCAGTGCAATAACCCAAATCAACTACTGTGTATTTCCTGAGCTCTCTACTGTGCAGATATTTAATATCTAAGGGAAACCTATTCCAGGACATAACTTTTTACTATATACACTCTTTTATATTGTATTTTTATCTTTAATGGCTTCCTGCTTTAACTCTTTTTACCCTATATAAGCTACTGGAACCAGAATGTCACTGAAGGACTAATCCCAAGGGATAAATAAATTTGAATCCAAGCCTTTAAGTTTTTGGTTTAAACTTTAAGTCTAAGTTTGAACTACAAAGGGACAAAGTCATACAGCTACTATGAAACAAGCGGTAACTTATTCTGTTCAATTCATTAAAATGTAAAGAGTTGTGATACAAAAAGAGCTACTAAATAATGGCACAGCAATGAAGAACATTCACATAATAGCTCCTGGAAAAGTTTTTAATAATCGTGCGTTTCTCTTTTCTTTTACAGAAAAAAAGAAGCACAACTATCTTGATTGTTGCTGGGGAAATCATTGGCTTTCCTCATGTTGCCCCACCCCCCTCCTGTTATGATATAACAATATAAAACAAAACAAAAACAGCTAAACTTGATGAAGGTTCATTAAAACATAAAATGCTTGACAAAAACAGATGCAATCTTGGATAAATTAATTTATCACCAATTTTAAAGAAAATGCAGGAATGGGGGGAGGTTAGCAAAGCCTATGCGACAGCTATACCTGCATGCACCCAGATCTGCATTAAAGGGATTTATGGGATTTAATATGACTAAATCCTGAAAAAAAAAAAAAAATCCTAATTGATAAATCTAAAAAGCTTTTTTACAGAATCGGCTGAAATGCATCCGTGGAAATGAAAAAAAGCCCCCTGTTGTTTTGCAGGATTGGATGTGGGTGACATCATGGAGCTTTAGCTCATGCATCTCAGTCATGTGGGAGAGAATGAAACCAATGAAGGAGGGAATCATCCGTGTAGGTGTGAGCGAAGAAATGGTCCAAACGTTTTGCTTAACATGAAGCTTTTGTCGTGATGTGAAGAGGTTATGATGCTGATATACAGAGGGTATTCTCTCACCTCCCCTTTCACACATTCACTCTGTCACTATTATAGTAAACTACATACTATATTTACAGTGCATGCAAATAAAAGGAAACACAGCAGGTTTTCTGTCTGGTAAATTACTTTATTGTTACAGATTTGATAAATTCATACATTTAGGTCATAAAACATCTGTTGTATAAAGCAAGGATTTTGTTCGCTGACATACAGGGCAGGAATGCTTTCTTTTTCTTTTTTAAATCTCGTAGCATTTCTGTAAAATGACGACGATTTGCGCTCCAAACCTGATTGTCCAAACGTGCGCTGCTCTGAACGCACAAGGCTGCGTTTGTTCCTCATGGCAACCCTCAGAAACTGATATCTGGGTGCAGTCTCTGGGTGCTGAACAACAGCTCAGGAATATCCGTCGGTCTTAGTAAGCGGGTGGAGAGAACCAGCACCTGGAGCAGAGCAAACACCATCATTAAGGTTGAAATATGCCAATGTGTGTAACTTATAATATACATGTAAAGGAGTGACAGAGACAATCCGCAGGAATTTAAACCCTCTAAATTAATCTCTCTTTGCAGGTGATGAAGCACACTGAGTAAGTTTGTCAATGCCCCTCTTTTCTCTTCCTTTCACCTTTTTTTTTTTTTTTTTGCAGTGTTGACATAACATGAATTATTCCCTATCATAATAAAGCTATAAAACTATGGTGAAAGCAGTAATGCTTCGCTTTTGAGAGTAAAAATTGGGCTCTTTCTGGCATTAAGACATCAATTCTATTGCCACATTGCAAGACAGGACACAGAAAATAAAGAAGAATATTGTATTACCATTCTATTACAAACATCACCTTTCATAGAGCAACCCTAACGAATGGAGCCCCCCATCGTCCCTCTGTGAGGTCTAGAAGTACAAGATCTATGTCCAGCCATTCAGCAAAGATGCCGCTACATGGCTGTACATCTTATTTTGGCATTTGACCAATTAGATGAGCCCTTGAATGATGTATTACCTACTGTAAATTAAGTTAAAAATTTGTTTTAATAAGTCAAGAAAAAAGATAAAAAGCTAATTGAAAAGTTAAAAAGTAAAGTTAAAAAGTTAGTAAGCCGTAAGCCTAGTTAACTATTATATTTAAGTATATAAACTAAAAAATATAAGCACCAGTATCTAAGGTTATGTTGTAGCAAAAAAAAAATGTGTTTCTTTCACTGTCAGAGGGTTTTTAATGAATTTCTTATAGAAGCACTTTTGTTATTTTTCCTAATATATTTGGGCAAGTTGGCGTTTCTTGTTATTACGTTGACATTCATTTTTGCCATCAAAATATCATTTTTTTTTTTATGTTACAAAGGTAATAAGTTCTTGTCCTGGATTCCAATAACACTATTGGCTTAAAATTTGATTTTAATATAGTGCCTTATAAAGGGTTAAATTAAATTAACATTTTTTTAAAAGGTAAATTCTTGACAGGGTTCAGACTTTACCAACAATTTCTTCTGTTTTTTTTCCCCCCCTTAGGCCTAAAGCAAATTTCTTAGAAGGTAACAGAAGTTTATCCGTTTCCTGGATCAGCTGTCAAGTTTTCGTCTGGGTCAAAAACATGAAATAATGTTGTTCATTTTTTTAAAACTGAAATGTTAAGCCCAATCGGATGTTTATTCTGACACGGCAGCCGTGACTTTTCAATGCATTGAAGGATGTGTGAGAAAAGCTTTGGGATTCATGGAAACCACCTGCGACTCAAGCTGGGCAGTTTAATTTCAATGTAAAGAAGCAGACCGCTCGCACTGACCTTTAACATTCACCTGTCAACACCGCAGGGGTCGAGGGGTTTACAATCAGAGCAGAGGTGTTAGGTCGAGGACGACCAACAACATAAAAAAAAAAGAAAGACTGAAACCTCAGCAACTGCTGAATAAACAAGAGGGAATTTGGGTGAAGGTTAAAGCTTTATTTTCTGTAGCTTTAATCACTTTTCCCTTATGTCAATTTGTAGTTGAGGCATTAAAACTTTGCTATAAATCATTTGTTTATCTCTGATCAAAATCAGTAAGGTGTTTCATTGCAGCCGCTTGGGGAACATACAGCAAACAAACGATGAAGATCTTTGTCCCTCTATACACTTTGGCATTGGCTTAAATTAGGCAAGAAGCATTTGGAAAACAAAGAATTAATCAAAAACCCAAACCTCAGAAACTTTATGAGTAACTGGTTAAAGAAGGAAAGTAACAAATGGTTATGCAAACTGAAGTTTAAGTTTCATTTTTCCTCTTTTTAAATCTAAGACATTTTTTAAGAATATCTTAAATCTTGTATAAAGTCTTTTATCTAGAACCTTTAACTGTATTTGCTTTTAGATAAAAGGCTACAATCCTATTAGAAACATCAAAAAATATTGCTTATTTAATTACTAATAAAATAATTATAAAAAGAAAAACCTAAAGGTCGAGGGAAAATCCTCTTCATTGATAATACACCATTTAGCAAGTGAAAAATAATAGAACTATATTAAAAATAAGTTGCTATTTTTTTAAAGCCATCTAGGTACCATTTCCTTCAATTGGGATAAAAAGCCAATAAATATTGAATATGTTTTAATCTTTCTGAATGTCTTTCAGTGTAGATGAAAGTAAATTCTCTGATCTAAAACTAAGGATTCACAGTTTAAAATCTTTCTTTTTTTATTTTTATATATTTTTTTTTATGTTGAAATCAATGACAGGATTGATTCATCCTACAAAAATAAAAGTAAACATGTGCATCATCTGCATAAATGTTTGATTTTTATTTATTTTTTAATTCCAGAATAAAAAGGAATGTTGTTTGTGAAACAAGCAGTTTTTAAAGCACCATCTAAACCATGAAAACACCTCTTTTAAAGATATGACTAACATCAAAATTAAATCTTAACCAGATCCTACCATCCGTCACAGGAGAACAACTAAGCTACAATTTCAATCTAACCATAAATCATGTGAGCTTAAAGATTGTTGAGAGCTTGTTCAGAACTATTATACTAAATATAAGATTTTATAAAAGTCTCTATAGTTACATCTTCTTTTATACAAATAGATATATTTAGAAGGCAAAGGTGTAGAAGGTGGCAGGTTAGGAAAACAAAGCAGGTGAAGTTTTAAATCACAGGCAAGGATTAAAATTCAAAGCTTGTGACAAAAGCACAAAATCAACAAACGAGAATCCAGCAGTTGGTTCAGGAGCAGAACATTTACAAAGCCTTCTGTGTGGATCTGAACAAAGGACAGATGTAGGATACACTGACAAAAAACATCAAGTTATCCAACGGGGAGGGGGTTAAGAGACTAGAAGCTGATGTGCAGGAGAAGCTAACAGCTAACAGGGTCACAGAGAAAATGGAAAAAAAAACAGCAGTGAGAAAAAAAATCTAATGGTGATTTCTCCGGCTTAAGTTTTAAAATGGATTATTTCCAGAATCAGGAATCAAGAATCTTTGTCATTTTATTGAGACATCTGTCTCACAATGAACACAGACAGAAATTAGAAGCACTTATGAAGAAGGAAATATAAGTATTACTATTAACTCATTATAAAGAATGTTTTTGTTTTAGCACATTTTTCAGAAGATATAAATACAACAAATGATATTAAGCAGGTAGCATTGTGTGAAATGGGCTGTTGGTCTATTTGACCGTCAGCAGGGAGGGTTAATGTCTTTCTAATCTTGTCGGTGTGTCTAAGAAGGGGTGTGTGTGTGTGTGTGTGTGTGTGTGTGTGAGTGTGTGTGAAGGTGAGATGGAGGGTGGGTCCCTGATTACAGAGAGACAATTGCCTTCACAGCTTTAGGAAATTAACTTTTATTTTTAAGTCAATAGAGGAGAGAAAACACCAGACAGGAGTTAGAGATGGTTAGGGTAGGATATGCCCAGCTTTGGAGATCTCATTGAGAACTGTTCAATTCATCATCCAGGACTGGAGAGACGATGAACAACTGCTAACCTGTGCAGTAACACATAACAACTACTGAGCAATCTCTAATTTCTTACTTATTTATAAGGTCTGTACATTTCTACAGTACAGGTGCAATAATCCAAGTCAACTACTGTGTAGTTTTCCATTAGTTCTCTACTGTGCAGATTTTTTATATCTAAGGGAAACGTATTCAATGACATTACAACTTTTTTAAAGCTCTTTTGTACTTTCTACATTTTTTTTTTATATTGTCTGTTCTATTTTTATTTTTAATGTCATCCTGGTTTAACTCTGCCCTTTGTACTCTGTATAAGCTACTGGAACCAGAAATTCCCTGAAGGAGTGATGCCAAGGAATAAATAAAGTTGAGTCTAAGTTTAAGTCTAACCTAGTTGGACATGTTTGCCCTAATTTACAAACCAAGCAAGGGTTTTATAATAGAAAAAAAAGGATGCCAGGACGTCGCAACTTTTGCTCGCTCAGAAGGAATGTATGAAAAAAAAAAAGGAAATTACAATAATTTTTATATATACTGTTTACTTAAACACAAACTGATTGTTGTTTGGTGATATTCCTGATGCTGAATATTTATGTGTTTAGTTTATTCCTGGTACTTTAAGCTTTCGTTTTTTTTTGTTTTGTTTCAAGATTAACTAAACAAAAACCGTTATAGACCTGATATTGTGGAGGGAGGCCTTACAAAGCATAAAGAGCTTCAACTATTTTGCTTGAAAATTAGAAGATTACCAGCCTTTAGATGGGCGACGCTGGTAGAAACATACACCAAAAAAATCGGAGAAGTTAGTTTCAGCAAAAGGTGGTCCTGCAAAGTATTCACTCATACATTGGTGCATATAAATGCAGGATCTTTTTTGTGTAAAACTTTGTGCATTCTTTTTAAAATCTGATTGGCCTGAATTCTTCTCCAAAGCCCTGTATTATTTCAGAAACAAATAGTGGTAATGAGAATCAGCCTGGGTCCTGACTGTGAACACGACCTAAGAAGGCAAGAAGTTCTTCTCTCAGGCCTCGCATGATAAGTAAAAACCATTCCTCTTCAGATAACGCAGTATAAGGAAAGCAGTGGCGGCTTTATAGAATCTAAAATATGAAACCTATTCTGGTTTGTTTAACTCTTCTGTTTACTACATATTTTTCCAAGCCTTAATTTGGACGTTTGATGTTTTCATTGGTAAAGCTCTTTATCTGGTGCTGTGTGCTGCTTGTTTACCTGGATGCAGAGCAACAATCAGATGAAGATAAAGTTTAAGACTGCAGTTTTACTTGGTTTATACCCTCCCATGGTGCTGTAGTTAGAATGAGGGCAGCAGTGCCGTTACACAACAGAGGAGCTCTGTTTCTGCTCAGCAGTGTTGCTTTAACTTCAGGTCAGCACCTAAAATTGGCTGTAATGGCAGAGTGAGCATGTCTGTGAGGAAGTTCTGCAGAAGCAGAACCCTCAGCCACATCTGGACAGCAGACACCAGCCACTGTGCGTTTACACGTAGACAGCGTGTTGCACATGAACCTGCTCTGGTTAGTGTGTGTGTGGCCCACTAGTTTACTGTATAATCTCATCTTTATTCAGCTCTCTTAATTACAACATGGACAGCTTTGATCGTTGTCAAGCCTTTCATTGCCTCTGGCCTAATTTTCAAAGCCATTTATTATAAAAACCCTACATTACCCCGTTTGATGTCCCTTTTTTTCCCTCCCTCTCCCTCCGCTCAACCAGAGAAGCTGCATGCATCTGCATGTTCTGTGTGGCGGTGTGGACTGCATATGTATAAGGCACTTAGACGGCCTTAAACAAACAGGCAGACATGTGAAAACTGCATCAATCCTTGGAAAGATCAGACAGGGCTCTAACCTTCACACCTGATCTCTGCCACCTGCGTAATTAGGTCAGGACTTACGACCCATCATGAATCAGAGTCTTTGCTTTTATTCTTCATGGCTAAAGCTAAAAGGTTAAATATCAATCTGCATCTAACTTGATATGAATATCAGTTAATGCTTTGCAGGGTTTGGGAAACTGTAAGCAGACCAGAGGAAGAAATAAACAAATTGACAAATGTGACTGGAACACTTCAAAAAATCAGACAAAAATAAAGTAATTGCATTTTTGCCATTTCTTTAAAACAGTAAGAAATAATCTAAAACATATTATTCATACAATTTGTTGTATTTTCTTATTTTTAGAACCTAATACATGTTAATTTTTTATCCTAACACAAATTCCAGTCCGACAGTCTTTACACATTTATTTAAAAAAGCCAATATTTAAGGTTTACTGTGAAATGTTTGTGCTAAAAAATAGGGTTAACAAAGTAAAAATACTTCATTACTTTACTGAAGTAGAAATTTTGGATATCTATACTTTACTGGAGTAATTATTTTTTAGAAACATTTTTACTTCTATCCCTCATATTTTTTTGCAATTATTTCTACTTTCAACTCGTTAAATTAAAAAAATAGACTCCATTTAAGCTATTTTTCATTATTGCCTGTTGGTATTTAAAAAAAAACCCCAAAAACACATCAAAATAATTAGTTTTATCCAGACAATTCCTGTATTTGTGGTTGGACTCGGTGCTGCACCAACTTGTTATTCTCCACATACTGAAATTAATAATTTTTCAAGATGTTAAAGTTAAATTTGACTCTTTTACCATTAGTTAAAACACTAAAAAGATTAAGTATAAGGAAGTCAGCATCCAGAATTTAGGAAACTGTTTTCCTTAATAGGTTAAATAGTTTTAAAGTAGATCTCCTTAAAATGTTTTCCTAAATTACTTTTATTTTATACTTTAAGTATTTTTTTAAACGGTACTTTTACACTTTTACTTGAGTAAAAAGCTTAAGTTGATGCTAAAAAACATGGTTTCTACCTCTTTAGCCTACTGACCTGTGTTCCTGGTTTGAGTGAGCTGACTGTATCTTTGATGAGGCGAAGCTCTGATGGCGTCACTCCACCGACCAGGAAGAGGAAGAGCAGAGGGTTGTCGCCTGGACGTGGACGGCTCACCTGGAAATCAGGGCACGTCGTTATACTGATTTCATTTTTTACAGCACTCTTTGTCAAACATCATCCTAAAGTTTTTATCACATTTAAATCAACCATCTGATTCTACTCATGTTTGCGTTTCTAACGGTGCAGCTGCTTGTAGTAAAACCATGAATGTAGGTGTTGTTTTCTGGATCCACACACTGGTGTCAGGATGGCTGACACGTGAAAATGGAAGCAGGTTGCTCACACCTGCTTTTCCTCGGATACAAATGTCCCACCATCCTGTGTGAGAGGGGCCTCCGACAGACCTTTTTACGGCATGTCATTTGGCAGCAGCAAAGTGGGAGGCTTATTGGTCGCTGGGTCATGAAGGTGTAGTTCTATTGGTTGGCTGGCAGCGGTCAGGACAAACCTCTAAGTGCTAACCAAGCAATCAGAGCGGCAGGGGGTGGACCTGTGGCAAGGGTGGCTGTCCACGTGAAGCGGCAGCCTGTGATGCGACATGTGGACTGAGGCGTGTCAGGGATGGTTTAACATGCTTCTGCAAAAAAAGGTGCGAGCGAATATTATTCAGGCTGATTCTGCTCGTGTTATGTTACCAATTTAAATTAACTAAGACATCAAGGGACATGCCTGCTCCATGTGAGAGCCCAACACAAGCAGTGTGCGCCTAAAGACACACACCATGAGCCATGTGTGCTGCCATGGGGCAAACAGAGGGAGGGGCCATGAGCACAGACATGATTTACAGTGTAAGAAATAAGGATGATGAGGCTCATCAAAACACCTAGCAAATAAATAAAAAAATCTTACACTTAAAGCTTACACTGCAAAAAATTTGCATTTTAATTATTTTTTTTTTTCTTGAACTAAGGAAGTAAGTGAGACACTTTGCCAAAGGAACAAGAAAATTAACATTTAAAATAAGAAAAAAACAACTGCATTGTCTTATTTCAAGTGCATATTATCTAATTATCTTATTTTAAGAGTAAAAATAGTAATTTCATTGGCAAATCATCTTATTTACCCAATCAAATTAATGGTAAATACACAGAATTAAAGAAATTTTTACTTATTTCTACATAGTTTTTCCAGTGTAATGTTAGGCTCTAAATGGATAACATGGAGAGCAAAACACATTTTCACATCAAGCTAAAAAAAAAGGACAAAAAATGACTTCAGATTATTTCCAAACTTGTTCTTTTAAGGGTAAAATTTAGCAAACTGTGTGGAAGGTTACCTCTGCATAAAAACAAACTATTAAAAGGTATACCGGTAGTAGAGGATGTTCTTTTTCCAGGTGGATCATAAAAATAAACGGTCCTCCTTATAGGCAATCATTCTGGTGATATGTTTATGTAAGGCCGTCCTAAGTGCTCGTCCCCATTTCCACTTACTGGTGGTGAGTCTTACAAAAAGGAGAAACTACAAATCTTCTTTTGGAAAGTGAGCTTGTATGAGCGATGCAAACAGCAACTTTTAAACAGGGTGTGCACGAGGAGAAATGTGCTTGTGCACGCTCTCGCACGCGTTCAATTGGACGATACCTCTCGGTGGAGACGGTGGGTGTTTTCAAAATTTTGCGAAAATCATCCGCTATACCTTTTACATTGATAAAATGTGAGGTTTTTTTTTCCAGCTGAAAAATAATGTTTTTGTATTCGTGCAAATCGTTCTTCAGACTCCTTTACAATAGTAATAAGAAAAAAAACAAACAATTTTTGATCAAATCAAAGACAACGACAGATGTTAATATAAATTATTATGAAAATGTATTCTTTTTATAATTTCTGATGTCTCTTTCTTAGATATTGGAAAAGGAAAAAAAATCCGTAAAGCAAACTTACTGTTAAATATATCATAGCACATCTGTTTAGCTTCTTTTTTGACATAAATTGCAATTATTTTATCATTTTTCCCGTTCACTTATCACAAGCTAGGTGTGTCCAGAAACAACCTTTTAATTTGTGATACGACACCAATATGGCAGCTTAGAGGATTCATTCTTTATACAAACTTTTTTCCTTATTTTATAGTGTGGAATGATAGAAAAGACCTGATCAAGGGATATTTTACAAACAGAGACCAATACTTAACATTAGATATAACAATTGACCTACAAACTTTAAATAAAAGTGGATAGAAGTTAAGTGTTTCTATGAGCTTCCTAATAAAGGAGATTTTAGAGGCAGGCTGATAAAGTATATTCCCATGTTAATTTTTTTGGCTGATATCGATCCAATTTCGGATATTAACATTGGATCGGGGCAGCCTTCTAACAAACATATTGGTATATTTTGCTCAGTAATTCATTCTTGGCATGACCTTAAATGCTCAGCTGTCCATTATTGTGAAACCTTACTGTTGCGTCTACTTCTAGCTCAGATGCATGGATCTGAGCTAGCTGCAACTCTCCTCTCTTTATTATGGTGGCAAAATCGGTTAAAATGTGTTTCTACCACCTGAGGGGCGGGATGAAAAAGTTAGCATCTTACCTTTGTTAATTGTGACCAGACAAATATTTTGAGGCTCTGACATTGCCTTTTTTTTTTTAAATTAACGGTTATATTTCAAATGTAATAATTTTACTGATCCCTTGTCTTTAAGGTTAGGATTCTTACTGCGATAGTTGAGTGAAGGGGGCACAATTAAGAGTCTCAGACAGATTTGTCTGAGACCTGGTCCTTCTTTATACAAAGCAACAGTGCTACCATCATTTCCCATAATGCAGTGCTCCTTGATAATTTCTCATTTCAAACTAACTCGAGGGTTGAACTCCTATCTTATAAAGGCTCTTTAACCTATTCAATTCAATTCAATTCAATTCAGTTTATTTATATAGCGCCAAATTCACAACACATGTCATCTCAAGGCACTTTACAGTTCAACCAGATCATACAGTCAAATTGATACAAAGTTTTCTATCTAAGGAAAACCAGTTGATTGCATTGACTCATTGACTCAAATACAATCCCCCACACTAAGCATGCTTGTAGCGACAGTGGAGAGGAAAAACTCCCTTTTAACAGGAAGAAACCTCCAGCAGAACCAGGCTCAGTGTGAGCGGCCATCTGCCGAGGCCGACTGGGGTTCAAGGAGACAGAAGCAGAGATACAAAAAGCAGCTGTAAAAGGCGGCCCCGTCCAGGAAACACACAGACAGGCAGACGAGCTCCAAGGCAGCTCCCATGCCAGAGGACGAAGAGAGCACATCCACTCAGTCACGGTCATAAATTATTTAAGCTCACATACAGAAATATAATAGTAGCTTACAATAGCTTTTATGCTCCTCGTATTTTTTTTATTATTACATACCACCTAAAAAACATCCCATCATGCTGTGGGATGTTTATTTAGAACAGGGGAGCTGGTCGGAGTTGAAAGGATGCTGAACAGATCAAACACCTTCATACATAAAAAAGGCTCAAATTCCAGCCCATCATAATGACTTTATGTTACGACCAGAAAATGATCAGGGATGTAAATTTAATTACAAACTGCAGATAGTTTTTTTTTTCTTGTAGGACAGACCCCCATGTTAGTAAGTTGCTGTTATCTTTTAGATCAGTTATTGTTCCTTTCAATGGCAGGTTTTCAGGTTTAAAATGAGGCCCCACCTCCTGGTAAAGGCCCAAATGCCTCTCCTCTTTATTTCTCTGTGATCATATGACACCATCAATAACGTTAGTGTCCAAACAGCCGATTGGACGACGTCCCATTTTTTTAAAAGTCATTTATACAAACCTACTATGGAGGAGTTGGACTGAAGCAGCGGGAGCGACTCTTGGACAAGTGGGACTCTGTTTCAACAAAGACTAAACATGGCACACCAGACACACAAACAAGCGTGGTCACAGACAGTTGGAGGGGCTCTCCTGAGCAACACTGCACAGGCCTTCAGCTCAGACAGCAGGGTCCAGTCCTATAGCCTATAAACCATGTTAACGGCGGGTTCTTTGGTTAAAAATAGAGATTTTATAGTGGTGTTTTATTGCCTAAAAAGGGTTCACGCCTCAAGTTCTGGTTTATAACTTTATTCTTTTTGAGTTATCCTTTTTTTAGGCAACGTTTCTTAATAAGTGCTAAACTAGGCCAAGGTTCCTGTATTCACAAGCATAATTGTTAACCTGAGTTGTTTTTCCTTCAGCGACTGTTATGATGTTGAAGGCTGTATGACTCAAATCAACCTTCGCAAGGATCTTTTCTCTAACAAAAAACGTATTTATTCTCTTAAAAAGAATAACTAAACTCTTTAAAGTAAACTTTTATATAAGAGACTAATTTGCAGAACCTTACAAAGATATTTCACCCCTTTCAAACGTGTTTTATTGGGCCTTGCTGTGATAAACCAAGACAAAGGGAGAATAACAGATACTGACCTTATTGCATTTGAATGTTTCTTAAATTAAAATTAACTTTTGAAAATAACTTAAGCAGGTATTAAGCATACTTTTTACTAAGCACACATTTTGATTGAGTCCACATGTGTTTAACACACATGTGGACTTACTGGTATAGTATTTTTTTAAATAATGAGGCAGAAACCTTTTCTACTTTTAAAAAAATCTCTTGAAAATGAGATTTACCTGGTTAAATAAAGGAAAAAAATAAAATAAAATAAACTGTTATTTTCTGCAGGAAGTTGCTTACACGGATTTTAATTTAGAGTATCAGAGTTAAAGGGATTGATACTAACTTACACCACAGCATCTACTACTTCCTTCTTCAAACCTTTGTCCTGCTCTGTGTTTGTCTGAAGCCTGATACTAAATACCTTTCTAAGCTATTGAATGTGGAAGAAATAAAACCCTTTTAAGTGGAACACTGACATGATCCCCTGTCCATGTTTGGAGGTGAATAAGGTGTATATAAAAAGCATGTATTCATCAATGTGCACCAACTGGTTTGGATTAAAAGCCAGAATTCGAGGGCTTTTTTTTCCCCAGTGGGGAGGCCCATCTAGAGCAGCATTTTTGAAAAAGGAGCAGCTGGGACTCCATGTGGAGACACGTGGCTGTTGGTCCTAAAACCTGTGTTCTGTGCTTTTCCTCCTTCTTAAGGTGTTTACAAATCCAGTTAGAATAAAACATGACATGTTTTTAATAATACATGGAGTTGCATGTAGTGTCCTAAACAGTGGTGGAGTCTTCTCGTATACCAAAAACCAATCGAATTTATGCCAAGTTATCACACCAGTTTATCTATATGAATGCCAAAAAAAAAAAACACACTATAAAAACACTTTTTAAAAACAAAACATAATTTCATTTACAGGTTTACTTTTTGTACATATATCTAGCCCTTCTGAGCCTTTATGAAGGCAAATCTGTGTTTTGCATGGTCCAATATTGTGTCACAAACGTAAAAAAAAATGTAACAGTTTAATACTGAAAAAGCTGTTAGTCAGCTTTATATTTTTTTTTATGTATAAAAACTATTTATTTTCTGAGAACGTGTATGTTTAAGCAACTATGCAAATTAAGAAACTTCTATAAAAAGTACACTATATTAGGTTATTTTCCACGAGAATCCCAGATTGTTCATTCTTCTCTGCCTTTTCTAAAAAGTGCTTTAAATCAGTCCTATCTGTCTTTATCCGTGATGCATCAGATCCTGACGTTTGAAAAAGGAGGCAGAGGGTCAAGTCAGCAGAATAAAACATTAGCCTTGCTGCATGCAGTTAGCCAAGCATTGTAGCTAAACCAGGTCCTGGAAAAAGAGCGAGTGAACCGTCTCCATCTGTCTTTTGGACTGCTGATTAATTTTGATGTTAGCCTGATCAGCCTAAACTCTTTCCCCTCCAGCTTCTATTGGTAGGTTTGCTTTAAGGGATTTCACCTCTGCGACTCGACCTGTCAATCAGCTGCACCATGATCTGCTAACAGTTCCTGTTAGCTCAGGGCGCACATAAGAGGTGCGCCCTGAGCTCTCCTATACCTTTTGCATTGCAGAGGAGGTACTGCGCATGTACACTTTTTAACGAGAGTCAATGGGCAAATAATTTTGCACCCTAGGGGGAAGAATTTGTATGTTTTTGTCAATCAAGGTCAATTGGTGGGTGGGGCGGCGTCCTGGCACGCTCTTATGACCAGCCGCCACTGATCCTAGACCTGTTTGGTAGATGGCATGTATAACATCAACACTGGCCTTTTTTCTGATAATTTTTTTGTAAAGGTTACTGAAAGAAATTTCCCAAACCTTCTACCAACAAGGCTATTTTTTGTTAATGATTTCATTGTGGGGGTCATAAAGCAGGGTTGTTTATGTGGACTTAACTGATAGCATGACAGAGTTTGTGTTTTTGCACATAAAGATAAATAAATCTGTTGTATGCAATTTGAAATGAACATAAAGACAAACTAAAGGATGAGTAAAACAAAATATAAAATATCTATCCTTTTTAGGGTAGATATTTTACCCCACTTCCTACAGTAAAAGATGAGAGAAAAACTAACCCAAAAACCAGGATTGTTTTCTTCGTGGAGAATAAAATAGATTTCTATTCTATTCTATTCTAGAAAACCCTGGTTGCTGTGAAAGTTGTTGGAGTGAAAGCATAACTTCTTATATATCTAACCTTCATAAACATGCTGAATCCGGTCTTCAGCAGGTCTGTGAGGCCTCCTGACATGTGTTCGATGTCGGGGCATTCGGGTCGGTCTGGTTGGAAAACTTCCTCCAGGATCTGTCGCAGGAACGGACGGTATGTGGCCTGAAAAAACATGGGAGGACGGTTACTGATCAAAACAATGGTGGGGACAGCACTTCTAGTACTAAAATTCAAAACCAACTCTCTGTGTATAATTAATATGAATACTTAGTTTTTCCTTGACTGTGTCCTCCTATTACCCCTCCCAGTGTTGTATAAAACGTCTCCCAACAGAGTTATAAACAGCTCATCTCAGCCAAACAGCCTGTTGACTTATGAGTCACTTCAGGAAGAGGAGCTTAAACACCTCTGCAGCCAAGACAGAAAAATCCATTAAATGTGGCTAAAAACAGCCTGTTGACCAATTATGAGTGGGTGGTGAAGCGGATAAATCAAGCTAAGAATCACTTTGAAAAAATAAATAAATTAATATTTGTTTATTTTCATTTTAGCCAGATGTAAAAAGATATTCCCATTTTTCTTTAATTTAGGATGCATCTCATCAAACTTGAGAGCAACAAAACCTACCATTAGCAGAAATAACCAACAATAAACTTCCCACTGCTTTAAAAAGCATTTTAACATGTACAATAACATCCACTGTAGGTTAACTACTACCATATGAGGCAATAAGATGTGTCTGGAACCAAAGATCAAGACTTTGGTTTTTTATTTAAAGACAAAAACACAGTTTTCTTGACAAAAAAGACGGTTCCCCTAAAAGGGAGAATCTTCTATGCTAAAGGGATGTATGGTTATTAAGAGATATTGGCAGTTAAAAAAAAAAGAAAAAATACTGTTACCTAAATAACCCATAAATCTGCCCACAAAGCATATTTTTTCTGTCATATTCAGTCATCCTTGGTTTATCAAAACCACCTGATTTCTCATTTAATTCAACCCAACAGAAAAAAAAACAAGAGCTTACATAAACACACGCCCTTGATAAAGCAGGAGCTCAGAAATATCTTCTAATATTTTGAATAGGTAGGTAAAAAAAAGAAAAAACCCTCACAACTAACAAGGACTTTTTTCCCCCAGCTGCACAGGCTGAAATATGCCATTTATAACTCTTAGCTGATGGACCAAGAATTCAAAGCAGTTTTTTTTTTATGGAAGTGAAGTTTTGCTGTATCAGAGAACAATAAAGACCCAGATAAGACTTGGCAGAGCTCGCTATGGCAGAAGTCTGTGCAGATGCTGGTCTGGAACGCTGGATACGTTCTTATTCTCCCTGAGGCTAAAGCATGGTGACATGGCAGTTTATTTATTCATTTTCAAAATCGAGGTGAAAATGAGCACATTTATTAATATGATTAATAAAACAAACTCACCTACAGATCAAAAGTTGCATAACTGTTTATATACGTGTTGAGGTTTCCACTAATATCCTCTTTCTGTTTGTTTACCCACCTCCCACTACAACGAGCAGCCAAATGAGGATTTTTGAAATCATACAGCCTAATGGGTCAGTGTGCAAAAATGAACCTCGACGTAAACAAAGTGATGACTCACTGCATGCAGATTAAACCTGTGGTCACTCACCTTTCTATTTTCATCTGTTTTCACAAAGCTACAGTAAAAGCAGTTCAATTAAACTACCGCCTCAAACACCCACAGAACAAAAGCAACATGGGGATTACTCATATCACCATGACACGGCCTAAATATTCCTCAGCAAACACAAGCATGCATGTAAAAACAGGCTGCTTGAAATAAGAGTATCAAGTATCCGTTGAAATACTTTTAATGGTTAATGGTATCTGTTGGAGGGAAAAAAAAAAAGTTTCATAACCAAATAATCCCACTTTGACACAAAAAAAGTATCAGGCTGGGATGTTGCAGTGAATAAAATAATCAGCAGTTTTGTTTTTATTTGTTCCCTAAAAATGGGTTGCATATAACGCGTCCCTTTTTTTTTCCAGATTAAAGGTACATGTTTTGGAGTATGTGGGTTAGTTTGCTGCGAGGTTCAGCAGCTTCAAAAAGGTCAGGATGTCCACGTCATTCGTGACGAATTTATCAACAAAGCAATGAGGAACAACAAATTTCAGGATCTCAATTTATCTGTGGGGCGTTCTGGAAAAACCAGTGAATGTCACAAAGACCCCAACTACTTGGTAATGGGCCATAATAATGTGGCGGATCAGTAGAGACTGGGTTCTCTTATGTAAGTCCCATCTCTGTGCTCTTAGAGCCTAACTGGGGCTCTTACACCAGCAGGGAAATTAAACCTCCTCTCTCTGGAGACCTCAGTTTATTGGTTCAGGCTCATTCTGCCACAGGTTTGACCACTTGCAGCTAATTTAAGTTCTCCTTTTCTTGGAACAGCTTTCAATTTCTGCACTCTGCTGGCATGAACAGTTATTACTTGAATTACAGGAGCATAATTAATGCAAGCAGAGGAGCTGTCATGTGTCTGTTAATGTTGTCGGTTTTTTCAGAAGTCTTTCTAATCATTAATATTCATACTTATTCAAAATAAAGCACTAATCACCTCATACACAGACTCTCATGATTTGAAATTGCTTTAACACACACAGCGTATCAGCCAATCATGTTGCAGCAGCTTGATACATTTAAGCATCTAAACGAAGGGAAGATGACTCGTTAAAGCTCAAACCATGAATCTGATTCAGGATGAAAGAGGACGTAGGAGTGGCTAAACATTTTACGAACTGCTGACCTGAAAAAAAAACTTTGATTTGATGAGGCTGAAAAAAAAATTTAAAACTTAAAAAATGATGCGTGATCCTCTGAGAAATGACTTAAGCTTCAACATTTACGGTCAGGTTAAAATGTAATCTAGATACGAAGAAAACATAGACCCATCCTTCCCTATAAGTCTGCTGGTAAAGTAGAATGGAGGAGGCAGCTGTTGGGCTTCTTTCTACCAAAATGAGCATCATTTAAACTCTCCAGTCCACAGAGTTTTACTGACCACAGACTAACCACCTTGTAACAGAAACCTCCTGAAGGATAATACTACATGTCACAAATCCCAAGTCATCTCAAACTGATTTCTTAAAGCTGACAATGAGTCCATTGTTCTCCAGTGGCTTCCCAGTTAGCAGAGCTCACTCCGACAGACATGTTTAGGATGTATTGGAGTGAGCCAGTCTCACACTGCAAGCGACGCCTCTTCAAGGAGCATCTCCTATCCTAACTCTTACCCATAGCTCTGTTCCCCTTTATTACTCTTTCCACCTTCCCTCTATCTTTTTGCTGTCACCACTGATTCTGATTAGGGATTTTTCCTTTAGAGAACTTTTTGTCATATTGATGATAACTATGAAATTGTGTCTACTTTGTAAGTCGCTTTCGATAAAAGCATCTACTAAATGCATAAACATAAAACAATCTAGAAACAAGTAAAAATGTCTTAAATTTATGTATTTAGTGTATTTAGCCTTAATTTGAGTGGGTAAATAAGATGAGTTGCCAATGGAATTAGTATTTTTACTTTTAAATTAAGATAATTAGATTATATTGGGGCCACAGTGGCGTCAGTTGAAGGAGCCCTGGAACTGGAGGGTGGTCAGTTCAAGCCCCGGTGTTATGGTGTCCTTGGGCAAGACACATGACCCTTGTTGCGTAGTAATGGTGATTTGAGGGACTGGTGGCGCCAATGTACGGCAGCCTTGCTTCTGTCAGTGAGCCCCAGGGCAGCTGTGGTTACACTGTAGTTTACCACCATCAGTTTGTGAATGACTGAATGCAGTGAAAAGAACTTTGGTCAAGTCCTCTGACATGAAAAAGCGCTATAAGTATAGGTCCTTTACTATAATAAGCACCTGAAGACAATAAGACAATGCACATTTTCTTTTTTTTCTATTTTAAATGTAAAGTGTCTTGTACCATTGGGAAAGAGTCAAATTTATCTCCTCAATTCAAGAAAAAAAAAATGCACTTAGATTTAGATTTCAATTTTTTGCAGTGCATCATGGAAGTTCAGGACACAATTCTGCAGCAAATGGAAGATGAAATCCTGTCAATATGGACCATATGGAAATATTTCTCACATCAGGGATGGGATATCATGGCATTCATTATTTTTATAAGCAAAAAGCTGGTAAAGAGAGGAGTTATATATATTATACAAAGATAAACTAACATATTATGCAAAAAAAAAAAAAAAAATCAAACTCAATGTATGGTGGAAAAAGTTGATATTTATGTTGTTTTTTTCACTGTTGGTTTCATGTTAGCAGCAATAATGTGAATATTTATTAAAATCAAAATATTTCATCAATTAAACTACTGTGTGTCATTTAGTAATGCAGTCAATGGCAGGCCTTGCCATTTCTGGACCCTAGGAGAACTTTTGTTAAGGAGCCCTTCTACTAGTCTGCCTTAATATCCCAGTAGGTTCAAAGAAATACTGTGAACCAGACAGTAGAGCAACATTTTACTGTAGAACCATCTGCTTGCCTCCACAACCAAATAATCAGAGGCTGAGCCGATAGCAATCATGACAAAGATGCGTATTTATCTGGACAGAGCTGTCAATCAATAGCTATCCCAGCATGCATAATAAAAAACAAAAACAAAAAAACCCCCCAACATTTTACTGAAGGAAAAAATAAAGCTCTACATCTTTCTAGTTTTTGCTAATTCTAGTGAACTACAACTATTTTTAAACTCAGAGAAACAGAAACTGGTAGAGAATACATTTTGTTGAATTTTCAAAGGTCCAAAAAGCACTTTTATTAATTCAATTCTGAGAGCTTTCCATACATTTAATAAACATTCATTATATGACTGAATAAGTTCCTTCTCTTATGAACTTTTTCTGCTTCACAGCCGTCTTTCCAGCTCTTCATTCCATTTATGAATAAACTGTTTTCCTTTGACCTGCCAACATTTTAAATAAATCATATTACTACATAGTCTGGTGTTTTGCAATGGACATGTGAACCATTTGCAAATTATTTAACCTGAAAAACTTTCTGTAGAGAAAAAGGCATTGATTTGTGGGGTTTGAAATATAACAGAGCTTTATTCTGGCCTTTTCTTGGACCCTCAGCCTCTTTTTTTTTTTTTTTTTTTTTTTTTTAGATATGTGTATTTCTTACTCTGAGTAAAACACTTTAGTAAGTTTTGTTTATATAATTTTTACATACTAATATTGCTCAAAATTAAGCAGTAAACAAACCAAAGGCACATTTTTATTGTATAACAAATAATAATAATAAAAAAACGTATCTGATTGCTTTTAAATGGAAGTAGTTAAATCTTGTGTAATTTTAAAGGCTCAGTGCATAATTTTACAAAACATTTTAAATCTTCCTTTATGTCATACAAACACTGTTTTTTTCCTTTTTTTTTTTATCTTTTTCACCAATAAACTTATTTTTGACAATTAATTAAAAGTGTGACCTTGATTATGCCTTTTTAAACAGCATACAGTGACCAACTTACAAAACATCATGACACTGAAAACACCCTTGACTCCCTTGAGGTGAGATGCTCCTTAACTTTTACTGAAATAAAACAAGCACTCCACTAACAGAGCAACTTGACTCAGCCTGCCCCTAAATAACCTTTAAAAAAGGATTCCAGGAAAATGGAACCTTAGTGTATAAAGAAAAGCTGAATCTGACAGTCATCTGGATCAACTAATATCCACCTTAGTGAACTCCAGCTGGGTTAGCTGATGGATTTCTGATGTTTCTTGAAAACCTGCGGTAGCTGGCAGATGTCATGCTGTTTTCCTTTTACATGAAGTTATTTCCATAATTCCACCAAAATACAAATAAACAGATCTGTTCTAACAAAGTTACTGTGGCTCATTTGCATATATAAGATGCTGGTCTATAATTTGAAATAGGTTTATTGTTTTTCCTTGTCTTAAGTACGGTAAAAAGAAACACTGGGATTGCATTGTGCAGTTTAGTGATAATATTTTTGTATTAATAGACAATATAATCAATTATATTCTCTTTCCATGGCAAGTTCTGTATGTTTGCAAAAATAAACATAAAAGGGCATAGTGGCGTTAAACACATGTAACGTAAAAGACAAAAAAACATTTGATCACGATGAAGCTTATTGACACCAGCTGTCCACTCTGATAGTGCTATTTAGAATAAATTTATCTACAGTCTTTCCAAGTTCTGATGCCAAGCGAATCCTTCTTGCAGCCTCCCAAAAGAACAGTAAGGAAAAAGAAATGTTGCCAAACACCAACCGGGACATGATGATGATTAATTAAAATAAAAAGTCATAGGTTAAAAAATTTTCATTTGAATGAGGGCAAATTTTATGCAATCAGATGCTATTTCACCAGTAATTACACCATTGATAAGCTCTGGATTCTGATCTTTAGTAGTCTGCATTCCCTCCACATTATATAGAGCAGTCAATCAATCTATCCATCTATTAATTTTTTTGGAATTATTTGTATCAGTATAAGTAAGGACTTTTACTTCAGCATCCATCTAATCTGCAGCAACATCTGCATTTTCTGTACATCTGTATCTAAAGTGATCGATGAGTTTTCATCATTATTTTCATAACTCCACTGAAAGGTGCTAACTAGTTTAGCCTATTACCTCCTTGATTATCTTGTTTGCATAAGCACAATATCATACCTTTCAAACCTTAAAGGAAACACACACCAAGGGCTTTATTTACTAAAAAATCTAGCAAATGTAAAACTTAATAAAAAATTACAAAACATGTGCAAGCCTGATATGGTAATATTTCAGAAAATATTGTCTGCAACCAGATTGACCTACTGTGAATAAAAAAAATAAAAAAATTCTGTGACTATGCCGCTTTAAAACTCTACCTTACTTCAAGTTTCTCTTTCACATGAAACTTAACAAATTGATACATCCCTTTAAAAAATTTTCTTGAAATCTAGACATTCGCAGCAATATTTTTGCAATAGTTTTGTCCAAAAAGTAAATCAGGTGGAATCATATTAATATTGTAAAGTTTCCATTTTGACCCAATTCTGTGTATTACTTAGTACAACAAAACAGAAAAAAGGCTATAATCCTATTTAAAACTGAAATATTAAAACTAAATAAAATTTATTTCAAATTTATTTGTTAAAATTGCACAACAAATTAACAACAAATTGAAATAAAAATAAAACATAGTGATCTAAAAAGCTTGAGAACTATAAAGGGTTTGTAAAAAGAAGGAACATTGTTGAAAATGTTGGATCCCGGATAAGCCCCCAAAAGTTGGTAGTACAAAATCTCGATGTAAATCCATCTTGACCTCAAATAAGCATTCAATTATATAAATTATCTATTTTAACCCTTGCCCAATGCTGCATTTCATTTTTTTTCTATGTTTTTCCATAAAATGTTAAGAATTTAGCTAGAATTCACTAACCTTAACAAGCAGTTATTTGACTTTGCAAGCAATCTAAAAACAGTTTAACATGCAGCGCTGAATAACTATGGCTAAAAATGATTTGAGTGGCAGTTTTAGATTAAGTAGTAGAGCTTCACATTGCAATACAGAGATAAAAAAAAAAAAAAAAAACTTAACCCCACACTGCTCCCCGGGCACCGCACAATGGCAGCCACCGCTCCCCAAGGAGATGGGTTTGATGTGAACTTTGTTATTCTGTACTTGTGACAGTGTAATGACAATAAAAAGCTGAGGGTAAAATTACTGGATGCAACGCTTGCTACTATATTGTATTCTTGAATGATGCGAATAATAGATTTAGCCTTTTGGATTTCCACTACCTTTGATGAATATACTGAATGTATATTTTATGTGGTTGAGATGATAAAGCAAAGGGTGTTGGGGATAAGAAAAATAAATAAAGATAAAAACAACAAGTAGCAACAAGATCACACTTACACTGCAAAAAATGCTAATCTAAATAAGTAAATCTTTCTTAAAATAAGGACATTTTTTCTTGAATTAACCAGGTAATTTTTGTCAATGAAATAAGACAAAATACATTTGAAATAGGAAAAAAAAACACTGTATTGTTTCATTTCAAGTCTATAACATTTAATTGTCTTATGTGAAGTATAAAAATACTCATTCTATTGGCAGATCGTCTTATATACCTACTTAAAGTAAGGTGAATACAAGTATTTTAAGAAAGTTCTACTAGTTTTTGCAGTGAAAATAGCACGCATTACTGCAATCCCAAAATAATGAGAGAAAAAGAATCATCTCTGACCTGGTGGACTCCATCACTTGCAGTGTAAACAGACCGCAGCTGCTTGAGGTGGTCTCTCATGTGGCTTAAACCGCGGAGGGTCTCAAACATCTTCTCCACTGCAGAATGGGCTCTTTCTGTGCTCAGCTCATCTGGGGTTGCACAGCCTGAGGCACAAAATAGAACAGCAGAATTTATCCCAAACTCATACAGAGTTTTAGATTAAAAAAATCAATAAGAATCTGTGGGAAAAATTAAAGTGTGAAAGTTTGTAAATCAAAAATCTAGGTAAATCAAAATCATTTAGCGTTACTTTAAAAATGGCTGTAGGAAAAAAAGAAGACATTTTCAAATAAACCGTCTGGGTTTGTAAAAACAAAGCGCCATATTATGCAGCATGTCACTTCTGTGGGCAATTTCCTCGGCTGGGTGTGTACCGAAACCAATTACCAAGGTAAATACATAGAAGTTTGAGGACAAGCGCTCCTTTATTTTAACTGCCATCTAATTAAAAGATAATGTTCCCTTCTTACTAAATAGGTGGATGGAATCTAGAAAACTGCAACTGGACTGAAAAAGAAAATGATAGAGAAGGTGTAATAATACAAAGAAATGAACAAACAGGAAAAAAGAACAAGAAGATAACAGACAGTAAAACAGGGAATATAAGAAGAGAGACAGATGACCAGTGAAGGGTGGAAAGATGGTTAATGCATGGGTGTCCAGAAAAATAAAAAGTCGGTCAGGTGGAAAAAGGACATCCCAGTTCTGGATGACTGTGAAACTTTGCTAATGTTTTTATTATTATAGATCAATATCATTTATTGAAAATGGTTGATGTTATAGGATTCTGTAAAATGGCTCTGCACATGTTTAGAAATTATTGATCTAATAGACAAGTTTGTTACCTTTTGCATTTTCCCAATTTGTAATATTTAAAAGCATTATATAATAAGCATTTTAACCTCTATTTTTTTTTAAATAAGTTGAGATAGAAACCAACTTTAGCCAAAATATATGAAAATACTGATGACAATTCCATTCAGTTGTATAGATTAAGCCATCCAGCTTTCACAAGAAACTTTTTTAGTCACACTAGTCGAGCCTTTTAAAACCGAAGTATGTCTGGGCTGCAACATTACATCAATGACATGGATTAGTTGTCTTGTTAAAGCAATTGATGCGTCCAATGTCACGCTAAATTAAAGATGGGTACTGGCAGTCCTCGAGGGTTGATGTCCTGCAACATTTAGATATGTCCTTAGTCCAAATCGCCTAATTAAAATAGCTGAATTATATCCTCAGTAGGCAGTCAAGTTGAGGCTAATTTTGTTTAGGTCTTATGGTTGCACAGAGGTGTTTCTTTGTGTCTAGCTGCCTAGCTGTCTAGCTACCATCACCAAGGAGCTAGATGTTCCTGTGAGTTGCACATATTATTCAGAAATGTAAAAACCACAGGACTGTAGCCACCCTCACTGGATGTGGCTGCAGGAGGAAAACAAGTCAAAGAGATGGATCATACGAATACTAATGGAAGAGCCCTATGTTTGCAGATGGAAAAATGTAGAAAAAGAACACTGTTCCTACTGTAAAGCAGGAGGCTCTGTTATCGTTCGGCACTGAATTGCTTAATCTGGCAAAGGGTGTCTTGAAACTTTAAAGGGTTTAATGAAATCTCCTAACCTGTCAGTAGCCAGATTGATATGTGTAGAACTGAGTTGAGGTCTACGTTATTTCTACGTTACAAATCTACGGATTTGTTGTGAGACTGAAAACTCAGCTCTCACAACAATCCAAATTGCAGCGCAAGGTTAGAAATCTCCAGACTTTCAAGGGATTATAGAGAGAAATGTGTTGGTCAGTGTCAGAAAGTTTGGTCTCAGTCGCAGGTCATGGCTCTTTCACAGGTTAAAACAAACAGCTAAAAATAGTTAAGACGAAAACACTGGAGTATTCTGAAGTGGCCATCTAGCCCTGACCTAGATCCTAACGAGCAGCTTTGGAAGGAGCTGAAACATACCGTCAGGAAAAGGCAGCCTTTAAACCTGAGACTATTGGACCAGTTTCCTAATGAAGAGTGGACCAAAATACCTGCTGAGAGGAGTGGAAGTCTCATTGACAGTTATAGGAATTGTTTTATTGCTCTGATTACCTCAAAAGGTTGTGCAACAAAATATCAAGTTATAGATACCATCATTTTTGTTTCACCTCTGTTTCATGAGTTTATTTTTATTTTTTTATCATTCTGTTGAAGCATGATTGAAAAACAATGTCTGACTTTCATCCATTAATTTTCATTGATTTTTAATAATATTATTACTTTTGGCAGATTCAGAATATTTCTGTAATCATTGTGGGTTTTTCTTTCATTAAACAAGGTCCACCAATAATTTCACCTCATGGTTTATAGAAATATGCTCCATCTACTTCGATGCTGGATTGAATATGCATTGAATAAATCAGATTAGCAGAGCAAACCAGCCCTGGCATATGTTGGAAACCTTCTTCTATACAGTATTTGGCATGCCTGCAACACCACAGCAGGACATGTGAAAAAAACTTGTATGGTTAACATCCGTAAGAAGATCAAATGATCCAGCAGCAACCATAATGACTGAACAAAAACAACAGGAACACCAAAGACTCCATAGTCCATACAAAGCTAAACATCAGTAGTTTTGACAAAGACTTATGACACGTGTTTTAAGCAGAATGGTGCATTCAGAGACCATCTGCTGTAGGAAAAACTCTGAAGACCAAGATATTCCTGATAAAACTTTAAGCACAGTAGTTCCGCCTCCACTTGCATGTGCATCTATGCATGGATGACTAATAATTGCTCTGCTGAGCACATTGAAGCACCTTTCTAAGATCAAAGGCATGTTTAAAAGTGTAGACTATTAAAAGTGTAAACTATTCTGTTCGCCTGATCTTCATTGACTGGAAGTGTGAGTTCTTACTTCCTTACTTTCTCTGAGGAACATGTTTGGATTTGGCACACTTAGTAATAGAGTCAGCAGCTAACATATCAAATAGACAGGAAAAAAACACAAACATTAACCTATTTAGTACATGATGATCAGATATATTTCTTATCTGGAAAGTCCATATTTGATGTAAATTGTATGAGCGATGAATTAAAGGTAAAACTAAGAAATATAACTGTATTGTTAGCTTATTGTCTGGGTGTGTGATGTAAATGGTACTTTTTTCCAGAAAATATATTCAACCATATTTTGAACTTCCATCCATTTTCTGTCATGTTATCCCAAGCGAGGGGTGCTGGTGTCTATCTCCAGTAGTCTACGGGCAAGAGGCGGTGTGTCCACCCTGGACAGGTCACCAGTCCATTGCAGGGCAACACAGAGACAAACAACCATTCACACACACAATTACATCTAAGGAGAATTTAGAGAAGCCAATTAACCTAACAGCAATGTTTTTGGACTGTGGGAGGAAGCCGGAGTACCCGGAGAGAACCCATGCATGCTCAGGGGCGAGGAATCGAAACTGGATCTTCTTGCTGCAGGGCGGCAGTGCTACCCACTGCCCCACTGAGCAGCCCATTTTAGGATTTGTTTATATTATTTCTGTATGTGCTTGTTAAACCCTAATAATACCTGCCTGTTACATGTTAAGGCTAATGTTTTTCCAAGCAGTTTTTGTAATTAGGACAGTTCTTTTTCTGATTCATATTTTGAACTTTTCAGGTCAATTTAAACCCTTCTTGCTATGCATGGACACAACCATAGAAGGTGCAAACAGATAAGTTAACTTTATTGTTCATCACATTTCCAGAGACAGATATTTTTATTTGACATCTGGTAGTGATTCATACATAAAAACACATAAGAAGGGATATCTATAAAATGAAAATGGTTTTCCCAATTTTAAATTTCAAAATGAAAAATAGTTTATTTTGGTTGGAAACATTTTAGCGTTCCTACACAGCTCATTTAACAATTTCTTAAAAATGGATTAATAAAACAATTAGGTAACAGTATAAGTTACATGGGTTACCATGGTTGCCTATCACTGATCTACTGAACGTTTCTGTTCAATATCTGCTTTGAATTTAAAAGGGTCAGCTGGGACAAAACTTTTAAAGGTAATTAACTGCTTAATTAGCTTCAGACTATGGCCTTTCTGTCTTTATTTTCCACGTGTATGGGAAAAGCTCACTCAGATGGCATAGTTCTAAAAGAAAGTTTCATTTCCTTCTAAAAGTTAATGATCCATATTTTTCCAAAATGTAAAAATATGAAATAAGTCATGTTGATTTTCTTTTGCTTTCAAAATAAGGCATTTTATTAAGTACATATTTTTTACATTTGCAGATTTTTATTGGCTCTAGAAAAATATGTTGTAGGACTGGAAAAAAAGGTGTTTTTTTAACTGAAAATGTTCTTGGGGATAGGGAATAACATCTGCAATACATTTTTCCATACTTTTATGCAATTTTTATACTTTTCCAAACTGTGAGGACTCCTGTATTGAAACCACTCCAATGAGCTGCCAACTATGTACAGTATGCAGGCCGGATTAGCAGATGGGTTATTTTGAGCCTTTCTTCAGAAAGTTGGACCTACATGCCTTTATTTGATACGACAGCGCAGACAACAAATATGAAATGATAAGCTGCACGCAGGATAACCGGGAATGAATCCAGGCCCTTTCTGCCATGTCTACTCACGCAAAGCTGGTATGTAAAGCTTTGGTTTTTATTTCAGCGTGATAAGGCTTTGCTTTTGGTGGATAAAAACAGCTGCATGTGGTTTTCTAAAAAAGAGAAACTGAGAACCATCCGAGTGGATCAAAATACTGAAGCTGGCTGATTGACACCAAAGCACTGAGCTGAAACGATAAGGGCCGAGAAAAAGAGCAAAGCTGCAGGTTTATGTCAAAACTTACTGGATTCATCTACTATCTCACAGCTTTGATATCAGCATCAGGCACTTGGTTCAACAACAAAACAGCCTACAACAGTTGGAATTCAAATCTAAAACAGTACAGCCCAGCCACAGAGAGACAACAATCAGCTGAAAATCTATTACCACACTGGAAAAAGTAGAAATCTAGGTAAGTAATTTTTCCAAAAAATAAGTGCATTTGCTCTTGAATTGAGAAGGTAAATTTTTTTTTTCCAATTTACATTTAAAGTAGGAAAAACTGATTGCATTGTCATATGTCAAGTGAATATTATC